CAGGACTTGTAATAGGCAGCTTTGCTTGATTGGGCTGCAGTAACAAGCAACCCCAGATCTCAGCGGCCGATGGCACAGAAGCTGATTTCTCAGTCATGTTACATGTGAACCGTGGGTCAGCCGGACGGCTCTGGGACAATGTGTTGCCTTCACTCAGAGATCCCAGTGGAAGAGGCGGCTATTCTCACGGCAGGGAGAAAGCGCACGAAAGCCGAACCGTGTGCTCACTCTTGCATCTTAGGCTCAGACATAGCGTGCGGCACCACCATGTACATTCCGCATGGTCATGCCTGCCACCAGTGGGCCAGGAAGCCCCCACAAGTCATGTGGCAGTGGGCAGAGGCATGCAATGCCCCTTACAGGGAGGGCAGATGGGGAGGGGAGCAGTAACTCCAGAGGCCACATGACACCCCAGACCTCACAGTACAGCTCTGCTGGTGCCCAAGGGTTGCGCGCTCTGTCAGTCCTTCTAAATCTCAGGAGTCTTACAGCTGATTTCCATGAACTGGGCCTCTAAACCTGGCCTCTGAGTTTTCCTCCTACTGGAAGCAAATATTGATTGAGATTTAGCATAGAATACCTTTCTGTAGACCTTTATCTTGTCATATAACCCTTATTACACAAATTCAAACTCCACATTATAAAAGCGATACTGTTGAAAGGATAACTGTTGGATCCAGGAAACTCGAGGTGGGAGCCACCGGGCATCTTTGGTGGAGTGGGGCGCGTGGCTGCCTGCAGGAGGCCAGCTCAAGTGAGCGCCCAGTGTGTGCGGTGGGGAAGGATGCTTCCGTGCGCCAGCATGAATGCTGATGAATCAAAGAACTCTTTACATAGGAAGCATTTTCATAAAGATTTAAAACTGCATCCCTTAACCATTTGCTCACTTTTGCAGATAAAACAGTTGACCAATTTAGGTAAATTTTCATTGCCATGATAAAAATGTATTAAACACCTACTACATGCTAGTTGTCAGGGGGAAAGCGTAGTGTGGGCTTTCAAGGAATCTAGGATCTCCTGAGACAGCCTCATTTGCAGTCCTGAAACTTCAGGACGGTCAGCTTAGGGTGATGGGCGTGGCCGGCAGGCGGAGATGGATCAGCTGAGCCTGGAGGACCAGAGGAACATTCCGAGGAGGCGCCTGCCAGGCTGCCGGGAAATTGCTCGTGTATTCAGGGAACTGGGAGGAACCAGGTGTGGCTGGAGTTAGGCGTGGTAGGTGAGGCTGATCCTGGGAGTGGAACAGGTTTTACACAGGGCCTGAGCAGAGTCAGAGCTTCTCTGGGTCTGTCCCCGCTCCGCCACCAGCTGCCCCTCAGTCCTCGGCCCCTCCTCTGCAGTGGGGATGGTGGACAGAATGTCTAACCTAGGACCTGACTTTCAACCATCCAGGGGCACCCTTCCTCTCTCCAAACTCAGGGTCCCGCCAGAGGGAGGAAACCCAGCACACACGTCCTGGGGCACGTGGAGCCTGCACTGGGTCTTGAAACAAGGCTAGGACTTGAGTGGGCAGAGACGTCAGCAAAGGGTATCCAAATAAGCGAAAGCATGGGAACAGGCAGTCCCAGGCCGCAGCAGGGGAAGGCCCACCCCGGGAAAGATGGAATTGGGAAAGGGAGAGGGTAGACTGAACCTCAGGCCCCAAGATCTGTTCTTGGACGAGGGCAGTGGCTGGGGGTGGGGGGAAGTCAGCAGAGAGAGTCTCAAAATTGCCAGAATCAACAAATTTTTCTAGGTTTGGGAATCTTAAAAAGAGGCTTGGGGGACCTCATCCAGTAGAAACTCAGTCACACGTGGAGTTCTCACCACCTCTCTTAAGAAGCTTGTGGTCCAGAGACCTAATGAGTTAATTCAGCTCAGAGGCCTGGCCTTGTCCTCTCAGGGTCGGGTTGAATGTTCTTGCATCTGTGGAAAGGGGAGGGGAAGCAGGCTCAGGCTCGTGGTTCTTGTACCCGTTTGCCAGGGCTGCCACACCCAAGTACCACCAACTGAGTGGCTTAAAAAATAGACATTTACGTCTTGCCTTTCAGGAGACTGGAAGTCCAAGATCCAGGCGTTGGCAGGGTGCGTTCCTTCTGAGGCTGTGATGGGGGGGGGGTGTGTTCCAGGCCTCTTCCCTGGCTTCTGGAGGTTGGCTGGCGGTCTTTGGCCTTCCTTGGGTTGTAGGTGCATCAGTCTCTGTCTTCGTGTTCACATGGGGCTCTCCTGTGTGCATGACTGTCTGCTTGTCCAGATTTCCCCTTTCACAAGGACGGGGCCATACTGGATTAGGGCCCACCTTAATGACCTCAACTTAGTCATCTGCAAAGACCTTATTTCCAAATAAAGTCACAGCCACAGGTACTGGGGATTTGGACTTTCAGGGCAGGGACACAATTCAACCCTTAACAGTCCCCAGGTGTGATGTGTCGATCACCCAGCCCCTGCCCCACGTCCCCATCAACAACCCAGACGAGAGAGAGGGGACCGTGTTCAGGATCCTTCCAGATCCCATCCTCTGCCCACTGTAGAGCTGCCACGTTTGTAGGCTCCGTCAGATTCCTGGGGAGCAGGAGACCCTCCCGAGGCAGATCCAGAGCCCAGCAGAGGAGCCTCTGGGGGTGTCGAGAGGCTCGGGGAGCAGCCGGGGCCTCTGCCCTTCTTTCTGGGCAGACTCTGCTGCCTGCGGGCACGGTGCTCTCAGGAGGTGGCAGAAGGGCCTAGAGCACAGGGAAAATTCCAGAGATCTGCAAAGGCAACTCTAAGTCCACTTTTACTCAGAACATCTACGCAGGTAGAGATGAGGTGCAGTTGAAATGATGCCAGTAAGATATTCCCCAAATTTGGTAAAAGACATTGAAAAAAGATTTTCTATGTTCATGAAAGCACAATACAAAATTTTACATATGGTTTGATTTCAGACACACTTTAACAGCTTGATTGAGGTGTAATTCACATACTGTGTAATTCACCCATTTAAACTCAGCAGTGTGTTGACTTTTGCTGTGGTCACAATCAATTGTAGAACATTTCTTCACCCCAAAAAGAAACCCCACGCCCCTTAGCCTTCATCCTCCCAATCCCTAAACAACCACCCATCTCCTGGTTTTGTAGTTTGCCTGTATGCCTACATTTCATTCAAAATGAAAGGGAACTACAGACAGAGAAATGACTTGCACTGGTGAATGGCATAATTATGGTTTTAATTTTCTTCTTTTTTTTTGATATATTTCTAATTATACAATGAGCATGAACTGCTAATAATCAGAGGGAAAAATAACTTTATTTTAAAAACAAAGAGAGAACTATCTTATTGTTTTTCAGTAGTCCCTGTGAATTATTTGGAAAGCAACACCTAAATCACCACCTTATTTTATCGGGGGAAAAATGTGTCCGAGTTCTCGACAACTGACTTCAGGGAGGAATTTTGCAGCAAAACTTGGTAGGAGTTGGAAATGCCGGCATCGCACATTTTTGCTATGCATTAGATGTCCTCAGACCTGCCCTCTGCTGACCCTTGTGTCCCCTCCCCAGGGTCTCCCCATCCTTAATCAGGTGACCGCTCTCAGCCCTTAACAAATTGTCCGTTGGCCCAGGTGAGAGGCCCTGTAATTATGCCACATCCTCTTGCCTCTTTAATAACTTTGGAGGTAGAGAGTATAATTCTGTGAGGGGACAGAGGACTCTATAATTTAGTGTCCTTTTCCTGAGCCAAAGCGAACTCTTCGCATGTAGCATCTTGCCTGCTTCAAGGGCAAAAAGTGATGTGTTGTCTCAGCAAGTGTGTTACAAGAGCAAAATGCATCCTGAGTTCACCCAAGCATCAGAGCCTCTTTGGGGGTGTGTCTGGCATGCTTGAGAGTTTCACACATCTCTTTTCTTTGATGAATGGACTTTTCACTGGGGGAAACTAGCTCAGCTGGGTTGGTTCACGAGACACACCGATCCTGGCCACCATCATAGGAACTGGCCGTTGCCTAAGCTAGAAATCTGGGCGCCATCCTGAATGCGTCTGGTTCCTCGTCGCACGTTAGTTCAGTTGGACCGCGCCTCTCGGATTGGCCTCTTTCCCTCAATCCTCACCGCCGCTGCCCCATGTGGTTCTCACCTGGGCAGAGGCAACAACCTCGGATTGGTCGCCTCCTTCCACCCTGACTCAGGCCCTGACGGTGAAGGTCATCCTTCTCCATGTGCACTGACGCCTGACCTGTCTGGTCTCGCATCCACGGATCCGTGTTTCCACCCCAGCAGCCCCCACTTTCCCCAGTGTGTTACAGCCCCATCCAAGTTCTTAATCTGGATCCTATGGACAGAACACACGTGGACATGTGAATGTCCTAAAATAGAGTATATAACCGTGTGTGCGTGTGTGTGTCTGTGTGTTCTAGGAGGAGGGGCGTTGGCCTTCACAGAATTCTTCAAGAGGATCTATGGACCCCAGATTTCAGATCTTTGGGGTTTGAATGTGTTCCTCCCATTTCCCGTCTCACCTTCCTACCCTGGTGAGCAGCTCCCAAGGACTCTGCTCAAATGTCACCTACTTTCCTGCTTGATGTCCCCTTCTCAGTGTCCCCAGGGCTCTGCTTACCTAGCACTTTCCCAGCTGGGATTTCATTACTTGTTTACATACCTGTACCCCTACTAGACCCCGAGCCCCTGGGACTGAGCGCGGTCCCTCTCTGCCCCGCCTCCAGCGCCATGTCTGGCGTGTGGTCCGCTCTTAGCGCTGGTGGAAGAAGGAAAGAGCCCGTGTTCTCTGCGGAGAGCCCCCGCTCCGCCCGGCGATGGGACCGCTTCTGCCTCACTCCCCCCACGGACTGGCCCACGTGGACTGCCTCCCGCTCGTGTGCTTGCCGACATTGGCTCTGAACAGGTTGAAGGCCCAGCTGTCCGGCATTTTCAGGGAGCAGGCAGACTCCCGTTTGCCCTAGGAGCTCACTAGACGTGTAATGATTTTTAAATTACCTCTTGACAAATTTTGAGCTCTTTGTTTTTCTTCTCTTTCTTCCATCCCTTTTCAGATTGATGCACTGAGTAAAAGAAGCAAAGAAGCTGAGGCAGCCTTCTTGAATGTCTACAAAAGGTTGATCGATGTCCCAGGTAAGCCCAGCACTTGTAGCCCGCCTGCAGCACTGTGTCTGGAGAGTCAGTAGGTTTCTGGATTATTCTTGGCAGCTTCCCTAAGGCAGCTTCCCCGAGGAAGCTGAGAAATCCTGGGAATATGCATTGTCCAAAACCCAGACTTTGGATGGGTTTGAAAATCAGATGCATGTTTGCAAAAGTCAGCGAGTAAACTCCAGTTGATTCCTTTGTAGATACAGAAACTCAGATCTGTGGGGCCACCTTTAGCTTTGGTTTAAAATGCACATTTCACTGAGAAGAAATAGTGCCATGTGTGTGCTGTGCAGACATCGTGGATGCTCACAGGTCTGGGCTGACCAATTCCATGTTCAGGAACGGTCCTGATAGGGCGCCTGGAATGCCACACTCCCCTCCCAGGTCGTCCAGGGAACCGGTGACCTCTGGCCAAGTCTTCCACTTAATATCTAAGGGCAAGTGGTTTAACTACAAAGTATGTGGGTTGTTTTTCCTTTTGAAAGAACTAAAAAGTTAAAATTTTAATAATGCTTGCTGTGCATGCAGAGAGATAATGGCTTCCCATTCCTTATTTCAGAAAAGTGAGGCAGAATTTAGAGTACCTTGGGCCCGCTGGTTCCATTGATCCTCTGTTCTCAGGGGTTCCACTCACCTGGAATCCGTGGGGAGGTGATAGACACAATCACATGGGTCCCAGCTCAGTCCGGGAAAGACTCAGATCATAAAATTAGGAAAGTCACTTGAATGTCATCTGCTGACCAAGGAAACCAAATTGCCACCACCCTCCCCTCCTCACCCATCAGAGTTGCACACTTGCCCTTCTTAGGAATCCTCTGTACGTCACTGACATTACTAGAACTACTTTAACAAAGCAAAGCAGAAACAAGTCTCCTTTGTATCTGTGTTTTATTCTAAAAGGCCCACTGAGGACTTTGCTATTCCCTCTGGGAGCCAAGGTTAACAGAGGCCACACCAAGCTAGGGGCAGCAGAAAGCACTTTGGGCACTTGGCACAGGGAGTAGGGAGATCCAGGTTCTCCTGCCAGGGCCTTGTTGTGAGGTCTTGGTCACATTCCTTTTTCCCCTCTGAACCTGGGTATTCTCATCTGTAATGGAGCAAAGTAGAGGAGCAGCCTAGTGATGGAGAGAGATTGTCTTTGTTCTAAGCTTTTGCTGTCTTAGGAGCTTATCCAGCTCCTAGTTCCAAATTTGAGCCTTTTGATTTTCTGCAGGAGTTTATATCCACCTAGGGGTTTCCTGAATGCTCTGACCAATACTCTGACCTCGCGTGGAAGCTGCTTCACAGCAGATGGATCATTTGATGCCTGGGTGCTGTTCCTCAGGTGTCGGCAGCTTGGGGGGCCCACTTGTGCAAGTGCTGGTTTTGTATTGGTGACTTAGCTGAAAGGGGACCGGCCTGTTTTGCCTTTGCCAGAGCCTCAGGGAGCCCGGAGCTGCCGTTTTCTAAATAACCTACGCTCTCTTTTTGAAAGTCCAGTTTGTCCCTGGGCTTTTCCCTTAGTGAAGTTTCTCCACTGGGAAGCCACGTGAACAAGTTGTTAGGTTTCTCTTTCTGCAGTTATTTTCCATCTTAACTTCTCATAGACAAAAAGGAGACCACTCTTCTCATCGATTCTCCTCTTCGCCTGAGCAGGCCTTATCATATATGTATATAATTTTTATAGAACTTTGATCATAACATAAGTATATAGTTCTATGCTACTTTTTCCACTTAGTATTGTCCCATCAGCATTTCCCTTATGTTGGAGACATTCTTCGTCATTATCATTTTGGGCTGGCAGTTTTCATTTTAGGTGGTGGGAGCAAATCATGTTTGATCTTTTCTGTAATAATAAGAGTATATCAAAGTATGTTTGCATGCCACGTAGATAACTTTTACCTGCGCACTCCGGGTATTTCTTACACATGCTGTGGTCTGACACATCTAGCGAGTACTCGAAAAGCAGGAATGGAGCTTAGAGCTCTCGACCTGTGTTTTGAAGTCTGCTTATCGCGCAGATGAAGTAATCGTGTGGCTGAGGCTTACAGGAAGGGTCTGGTCAACAGCAGTGCGTTTACTGACGGTCAGTCACACAGCCGGGGGAGTTGGGGGCCTTAACCGTCTGTGTACACCAGGCTTCAATCCAGCTGCATCCAGGGATGTGGGTGGGTGTGCCAAGTTCCAGTTGCAAAAGACAGCAATCGCACACTATCTCAGAAAAACAGAGGAGGCTCTTGGAAATAATGGGACAGGTATTTCGGCTCTGTGCCCCATGGCCCTGGAAGAGGTGACCAGCCGCCCCAGGAAGAGGTGGAGCCAGAGCCCCACCCCACCCCCCACCACACTTCTGGGCTTTTTTTTCATTTTTGTGTTTTCTTGTTTCTTGTCTGCTGGTCCTGCTAGGATGCAGGCTCCCTGAGGCCGCTTTGCTTTCTCGCTCTGTGCCCAGCACCTGGACCAGGGCCTGGAGTGACACAGGCGTGACATGTTGAATGAGTCTGTTGACCCAGAGTCACCCCGGAGTCCTGGGTAATAGAATTCGCTGAGAGTCACGCTGGTGGCTCTTAAAGCTTTGTCTCAGTCCCTTCCCACTCTTGAGGGTCAGCCTGCATATCCAGCAGCCTCCTAGACATCCCCTCAGGGGTGACTGAGGGGCACCCTAAAACCACCCAGTGTGTCCAGAGAAAACCAACTCCATCCCGCCTTCCCGTAGCAAGCGGCACCGCCTGCCCCCCGCCTGCTCACACCAGAGCCCTGGGTCACCAGGTCCTGGCCAGTCTACCCCCAGAAGGTTCCCAGAGTCCGTCCACTTCTCCCCATCCCAACCCCGCCCTCCACTCCACAGTGCGGGTCACCTCTGCGATGTCTGCAGTGTCGGGATGCGAGGTTTCCTGCCGGCAGGGATGGGTCCTTCTCCCCTTCTCGGCTGACTTCTTCCTACTCCTCAGCTTAACGTGTTGAGACACTGCTTCCCTGGACCACCTGGGTCCGGCTTAGGTGTGCCCTTATCTCACACACACACACACACACACACACACACACACGCAGCCCACTCCCTGAAACCCATGTTTGTTTACCTCTGTTACAACTTCTTGCTACACGGCTCTTTTTCTTTCTGGCTGGGCAGAGACTGGGGCAGTGTGGTCTTGTCCCCAGCTCTGTCCCTAGTGTCGCTCCCAGTGCGTGTCACGTAGCAGAAACTCCATAAATACTTGTCAAGTGAATGAATGAATGCATGGATCACATTATCCTCTTCAGGATGCCTCCTGAGATTTTTTGGTTTCTCACTTTAATTTTGTTCACATTGAACCCTACTCCTGAGATTAACAGTTACCTTTGAGGGAGAGCACTCTGGAACATTCTAACCAGTTAAGTTGCAAGAGAACAGAGGTCTCTTTCCTGGAGTTGGAGCAGTTGAGCAGCTCTCTGAACTCTCCTTTTGCTTTGGTGCCGCTCTGTAAAGATCTGCCTGCCTGCAGAGACGTTTATATGACCCTCAGCGTTCTGGTTTCATCAAACCAGCACGTGCTCTTCAGAAACCTGGGGCTTTTGTGGCCGGTGCTGACATCCAGAATCTGTGTTGGGTTGAGTAGCTGTCCTTCTGGCATCCTGAGCTTCACACACCTGGCCCCGAGCGTGGGACCCCCTCCGCCCCGGCCCTTTCCCTCCTCCTGCGGTGTGACTCCACTGTGCAGGGCAAAAGCAGCCCTGGGGTCACCTGGCTCCTCCCTCCTCTTCATCCTCCACATCCAAAATCCCAAGGAATGTTGTTATTTCTTCTTCCAGAAAGCTCCTTCGGATTAAAGACACTGAGTAAACATTGAAATACATAATTATGCTGATACATCCTCTGAACTGTTCCCATAGTTAGGACCCCATGTTTACCTGCTTTCTCATTTGCCACCAGATTGCTCCTCATTCCCTAGTCGGGTTTGAGAGTATTTTAAGATGCTTTTTAATCAGAAATATCCTGCTTCTTTAGCCCAGGCATGCTCTCCTCCACTGCTGTGACCCCCATCTCCATGGGGTGACCTGGTCAGCTCATGGGATGCAGTCCCCTGCTGCGTCTCAGTCAAACTGAGCACCAGGGATGGAGCAGGGAGCAGGTCAGCCAGACAGCTTCCTGTCCTCGTGGACTTGAGAGTCTGGTGGGAACGTGGGCATCCGAAAATAATTACACTGACAGTGATTGAATTTTAGGGTTAAGTGCTTCAAAGGCAGAGCCCATTGGTTACAAGAGCATAGATCTGGCAGGACTGGGCAGTGACCGGGTTTGGGGGGGTGGGCAAGAGGAGGAGAGGGCAGTGAGGAGAGTGGCCACGTCCTACATCGTCCACACCTCGACGCCGTCAGTAGTCAGGGGGCTCTGTTCCTAGTCGTGCTGAGTCCAGGGAAGACAGCCGTGTGGCCGGAAGTGGCCTGCTAGATGATTTGAAGCATTTTGCACTTTTTAACAGACAAACCACTGATGGATTTTCAGCAGAGAAATGACATCATCGCACTTGCATAATAAAGAAAAGGTCGTCCTGACTGCAGTTTAGACAGTAGGTGGGAAGGGGGTCCAAGTGATGTGGGGAGGGAGGGACGAGGTTGCTTGGTTTCGGCTGGTGGGGCTGGAGCTGGAAGGGAACGGACGCTGGAGGAAAGCAGCCAGGAGAGTTTGGCCCAGGACGCAGTTAACACAGCGTTACTTCTTCATCTCTGGAGAACAATATTGTTTATGTGGTTCCATCTGTTTTACAAAATTAAAGGGAAGACCAACAAAAAGTTTGCAGGATTGGCCTCCTGTCCCTGACTCTGTTACCATCCCTCTTCGTTGTTTAGTCGAAAGTGGGCTTTACCTTTATTGTCGACAGTAGGAAGGTGGTTTCACATTCAGATTCAAAGTCACAACTTTCTGTCATGAATCTAGGTGGCTTCACCTGCAGTTCTCATCACAGACTTTCTGTCTTCATATATATGATCAACATAGAGGAATAAGTTACACTTGCAAATATTTACAT